CTCCTCAGGGAAGAGGTCCTTGCGAACACTAAGTCTCATCGCAGGCTCCAAGCTCGCGGGCTCATAGCCGCCGTTGACAGGACTCGAGCGACTCGACATGCCGCCCGCCGCCCTCACGTACCACTTCTACAAACCGCTCACCTGTCCGCCGCGAGGTAAACAATCATTTTGACACATCACATTTTCACTTTTGATGCTGAGAGATTCAGTGAACACAGAGTGATAATACAGTTACGTCTGATTTCCGATAAATGACGTGTAAATCATTATTACGTTTTTCAATTAGCTTGTCTTGAGACAGTCCAAAGCATCTTTTTTCTTTACGTATTCGCATTTTAGGTCATCCATGTTCATGTAACGTTGTGATTGCGAAAAACAAAGTACAGAACATTTTCGCGGACACTTGCACTTGTATAATAGCTTTACACTAAACTAACGCATTATTTTTGAGACTTAAATGGAATCCTGATTATTTTCGTCGACTATGAGTTGATGAAAACTGTTGACCTTGTTAAAAGCTTATTAGGTTTCAAATTTTAGTCAACAGATGCAGACATTGTCACAAAGGTTGTTCTTGGGTTTTACATGGCTTGAGAGGGTAACATTGATAAGACATTTATTACCACGATTATTTATTTACTTTCATATAACAGTTTTAACTTTTTTTAATACTGTAATTTTTTGTTCATTCAACAAGACACAAACCAAACATCCTATTTCCAATTACAGCTAGTTATTTAGATATATTTTTCTAAGGTAAAGAGACCCATAACGACATTACAAGATAAAGTTATGTCAAAGAAATGTCAAATGGAAGAAATTGTTTTATAAGGTAACCCAAAGAAAAATTAAAACCAATCCGAGATGCCAAAATGTAGTTTGAAGTGTTGTAATTGGTTATTTAAGCCAAGAAAAGTTCACACTTTGGTTACTAATGGTAAAATTTCAAATCATGTACATGTAATAACCAATCATTGTTCGCTAAGCAGAATGTCAGAAACTTTCAACTATTTCGTTGTTTTGACAATAGGTGGCACTGTTAGGCAATTTTGAAAAACTCAATAGAAGAAAATAGATCAAGATGTATGCTTTTTGTTTTGTTTCTTTCTCCCTTTCCACCATTCTGGAGAAACAAATAATAAAATTAATTACACATGTTTACCGTCAAATAAATCATAATACGACTAGCAAGAAAAGTGAAATTTATAATTTTAAGTTATTATTTCCAATGGAGTTTTGAATAAACATTAAAATTTGTTCTATCTCTGACGTGTTTTGTATGTACTGAGTGTGATAATGATAACCTACACGGTCTTTTTGTAACAAGTACATAGCCTGGTGAGTCATGTTTAAATTTATTTGTTGTATCGATGATCTCATAATATTGTAAGTAGGTGCTCTCTGCTTACTGCTCATTACAACGAATACGAATAGTACTACAAATTGTAGTTTACAATACTGTGTAATTTATTAACATTCTGTTGACTGTAGATATAAAAATGTTTTAAAAGTACCCATCGAAATGTAGTAAATACATTTTGTGTTTTTTTATAATTCACATTAACTTTAACCATAATAAATTTATAGATTTTCATACATTAATTTTTTTGGTATACTGTTTTCCATTTTCACCACCTGAGCAGGGTCACAAGTAAAGAATAAACAAACAAAATCTTATTAACTTATTTTTAACTTGTATGTAAATTTTTATCTTGATTGCACATCAAAGAAATTAATATATATACTTATATAATTTAATAAATTTACTTTCAAACAGATCTGCCTCTGAGAACTTTACCTGGCTTGAATTTATTGTTTTATTATGATTTACACAACAAATAAGTATTGGTTGATAAGCATGAGACTTTGAAGTTTGTAGAACTAGTATTAGAGTTTTAAATGATAAAGTAATTGGTCATGCTAAAATAAATATCTATATTTTTGTAAGCAAAGCAGGTATTATGTTTTAATTTTGTTTATTTTATAACCAGTTGCATTTTATGTTGCTTTACTCGATTAATTGCAGTATATCAGTGATAAATTCATTTTTGTTTTCAATTCTTACAAGTTTAATTTTAAACACTATTCTGTATCAAATATGAACCAGAAATTGTCTTTTGCATTATTTTACAATACCTCTGTCATTTCTATTTTTTTAACGGTTTTAATTATTTTTAAATGAGTTATAATCCTTTTTTTTAATTACAAAGGTTTTTTTAATAATTAGCATAATTTTGTAAACAGAATTAACATGAAATTTTGAAGTATAGGTTTGGAATTGAATCAATAGTTAAGATAAAAAAAGCCTGATGATTGCATCCTTGTGTACAGTTCTGTACAGTTTTTGGTCTCCCGGTGCTAGCTTTCTTTACTTTGAGTTAGGTTTTTTATTATTTTTTTTTAATTATGTCTTGGTTTTTCTAAATGAGGGATGTCAAAAGAGAAGGGAATAGATTCACCAAAGTGATTCTTCATAAATTAATAAAAATTGGCCTAGGTGATGGTATTTATTAAAATTGTGTTTTTATACATTTTGTTTTAGGTACAAGAGTGTTTAAAAAAAGGGATACGCGTAATATGCAGTAATACATCTGGAATCGTATACAATCGTTATCGGATTTCGGTTGCGGTTGCCACTATGCATGTGGTCGCGAGTGCTGTGGTGCGAGCTCGGTGGTGGTGATCGTGTTGCGTATGTAGTGAGACCTTCGCGCGGCGGTGGTGAGATCGCGGTGCATACGGCGAGTGATGCTCGTCGCGGTGATGCAGAGGAATGGTGGACGCGGCTGCGGAGCGCCGGCTCGCCTCCGCCGCGGGCGTCAATTCCACTGCAACATTCACCAAGTAAGTATTTAAATTTTTAACTTGATAATTTATCATAGACAAACTATCTATAGATACTACAATTTAAATATTCAAGACTGCAGGTCATGTAAATAACATAGCTTCTAAAAGTGTCTATACCTAATACGCGTTTACTAACTACAATTATTTGTTCATACTAAGAACGACATATCATATAACATATATGCTTTCGTAGTATAAAAATAGTAATAACTAGCTTTCGCCCGCGACTCCGTCCGGTGGAATTAAAAAAAGCAAAAGTAAGTAGCCTATGTGTTCTTCCAGACTATCTTCTACAACCATGTCAAATTTCATCGTTATCCTTTTACCGTTTAGGCTACAAACTCTAAAAAATATCCATCCATCCATCTAAACTTTCGCATTTATAATATTAGTTAGATTGTCTCTAGATAATTAAGTTCCTTATAACATATAGGAATATGAAAAATTGTTTTATGTCGTTAACACATTGTATAATTTATAATGAAATATTTGCAGATATTAATAACAAGTATCTGTTGATAGTTTACGATTTCAGTATTGTGGCTTATGTCACAGATGAATACCCTTTCACGCATTTAACCATTTGTACTATAACGTTGTTAAATATTGTTATGCACTATCGTGAGCTATTACAGTTTGAAACTAATTTTTTTATTGTCATAGAACAAATGTCCAACTAACGTGGAAAACATTTTCCTAATAATAAAGGATGATAACAGCAGGTTAACTGCTAGCAGTGAAAAATACACTAGTCCACGTTGAAAGCAGTAATAAATAATTAATCTATAGTTTAATTAGAGTCAATCTGAAGTAATTAGTATTTCAACAGCCACCTAATCCATAGTTTAAGTTCTGTCTGAAAATATTAGTTTATTCGGAAGACAATCTTAGTTATTTGATAATGTTGACGAAAACATACATGCCAACAGGTTCGTCGTTTAAAGTATTAATTACGTCAAAAATGAGACTGTAATGTTGTTTGTTTTCACCAATATAAATTATCAAACATCTCATTCGAAGCGAATTCTTGGCAGCTCTTGTTCAGTCAGTCAATTGTTATTTACTGCAGCCCAATTCCCGTGCGGCGTCAGTTGACCGTTGGCATGGTCTCCCTGACCCCGATGCTCCGCGATCATTCTATTGAACCCTTCCTCATTGACAGCCCATACAATAGCCACAGCTTCATTATTTAATTGACGCTCATAAACGTCATCGTGAGTGACTGAAGTGACTATTGTGAAGCTATTTACGTAATGTGTGACTACGATCGTGCATTGTAGTTTGATAAAGAAAATAAACGTATTCTTGTTTGAGTTTCCTTTTTAAAAATACATTGGCAATAGTGATTTCGAAATTGCCGCCCATTTAGAATGTGATTTTCATATCCCATATGACAATAAACTCATATTGTTTATATATTCTAATAAATCAACTTTTCCAGTCGATCATATTATTATAAAACATTTTAAAGTCAACTATATTTTCAATGAAAGTAATTATCAAACTACAGTGGTGATGAAGTCTACAAACGCTAGTAACATACCCTTTTGTTAAAAGTACAGTTTTTCAGTTAATGTTTTTATATATTTTATCACTATGATGATAATATCAAAAAGTTCCCCCCACGTACGTAATAAAATGATGTCAGATATCGAACAGGTATCTTATCGCGTTTTTCCGAACTATGAGAAATTCGTTGATTCCACGAGTGGATGTGGCCTTTATGAATCCAATTCCATCGAAGTATGATATTGTTAGTTTTAAATTATTAATTACTAGCCAATGCTTGCGATTTCGTCGCCGTAAAATTGAAAATTGACAAAAAATATAGCCTATGTTATTTACTGATAACGTAGCTTTTAATGGTGAAAGAATTTTTGAAATTGGCCTGGTAGTTTTTGAGTTATTTCAATACACACAAATACAAATCTTTCCTCTTTATTATATTAGTATAGACAGTATAGATGTAGTGTTTCTGTTAACATCTTGTCTACCAAGAAATACTCGGAATCGGGTCTGCAAAGCTGTAACAAGTTCAAGCAATGTCCAGCGTTAATTTTAGTGAAATGTAGTTAATTATGAAGAGATGATGATGAAG